GGGCAGCCTCAGCGAACGAGGCCAAAGCCGCACCTGGCGCTCACCGAGCATCTCCGAACACGAGGTGGAGCGCCGTGGCCGGTGGCCCGTCTGCTCGCGCTGCGGTGAAAACCCGTCTGCTCGCGCTGCGGTGAAAGGGCGGCCACGGCGAGGATGCGGCAGAAGCTCTGCGCTGCGGCACTGCGTGCCGCCAAGGGCGCGAGGGTGTGCATCTGAGGCCCAGGCCGGGGCTGCGCGGCCTGCTTCGGCTGAGGCTTGCGTGGCTTTTGCGGCAGCGGCGGCGGGCACGGTTTCGCTTGCCCGCGGGGACAGGCAAGTGGGCGAGCGCCCAGCGGAGCCCCAGAGGCCGCGTACCTTTAAGATAAAATTGCCCGTTCGTGATGTGCACAGCGCGCGGTGCCTTCGCGGCCAGGGGGCGGCACCTGTTTGTGCAGAGCATCCCGGGCCCCATGTTTCCCGAGGGCGCGAGCGAGCGCTGCACCCGACGCTTCGCCTCGACGCCGGGATCGCTTCCGAGCGGGTGGACGCCCGAGCACGGGGAACCCTCTCGAATCAGGGCGGAGGGCAAGCCAACGAAGCGACGAGTGCAGTGGCGCGAGCACTGCCTAGCAACGCGAGTTTGCGCAGCGCGAGTAGGGTGGTGCGTTCAGGCTTGAGGGGCGCGACCTCCGCCCTCACATTTTTTCGGAGGGGTGTATCCGCAGAGCGTCGTGCATGTTCGTCAGGATGCCCGGAGGGGTAGCGCATAGAGGTGACGGCCCTCGCTCAGACGATTCCGATCAGACCTTGGCGTTGCTGCTCGCAGGCCTTCGGGTTGCCGCAGTGCGACGCCGCGAGGAGTTCTAGCCCTCGCGTCGCTGACTCAGCATGTGCTCTCTCTCCCAATATGCGGCTGGAAGCACGTTGTACTTCAGTGGTTTCTGCGGAGCCGTGACTCGGGATAACGTCATTTTACTTATTCCGTTAGACTGAGACTTGCACCACCGCGAGTTTTGGATCTAAGGTTGTCTTTTTTGATGGTTGATCTGTGCGGAGGACATAGTCAGGTAGGGAGTTTGGCTGGGGCGGCACATCTGTTAAATGATAACGCAGGTGTCCTAAGGTGAGCTCAATGAGAACTGAAATCTCATGTGGGCCAACAGGGGAAAAGCTTGCTTGATTTTGATTTTCAGTACGAATACAAACTGTGAAAACATGGCCTATCGATCCTTTAGGTCTGAGAAATGTTCAGCTAGAGGTGTCAGAAAAGTTACCACAGGGATAACTGGGTAAATGCCCATCTTGCGATTGACCTGGCGCAGGGCTCGAAACACCGACTCGCTCTCGGGCTGATTTCTTCTCGTTGGGCCCGCTGTCGGTTGCAGGCTAATTCTGCGAGGGGCTACGTTGCCAGCTGCAGCGCGGAAAGTTAGACTGCCGAGGACGAGCGCAGGCGCTTGTGCGTCGGCATGCCAAATGTCAATGCGCTGCGGGCGTCTGCCCTCGTCGCATGTGCGCAGACGAAGAACAGGGCGGCAAGGGAGATGCGGAAGGACGCATGCGCCCGAAAGATTGGGATGCGCGCGCCCTGTCGTTTGCGGCGATGGCCAGGCGCGGCGCTCGCGGCGCGGCGCCAGCGAAGCGGCGTTCGCGTGTCTCTGTCGACGTCGCCGCCGGCATGAACGACAATTTTGCCAAATTCGGGGGGCGCCGCCTGGGAGTGGGGCGGCAAAAAGCATCGCCGGCGAACCAGCTTCAGCGACGGCGACAATATCCTCGGAAGGCGAAGGAAGGGGTCGGCAGCAGGGGGTTTCCAATGGGTGCTGAATGGCCACTCTACGGCTCATGTGTCGCCCATTTAAATGCTTTGGTACGGTTGGCATCCAATGCGCGTCGGGATTTTGAGGCTGGAATGCAACGCTCGAGCGTTGTCCGTTGGCGGTAACGCATCGCCCAAGCATTGCTGCCTGCCTTGCTTCGTCGCTGGCCATAGTCCCAGGCGCGTCGAAAGTTTTGCGCAATTTCCAGAGTGCGAATTCACATTTCACGTTTTCTACGCAATGCCGATCCACACGTTGCGTTTTTGTGGGGGGTGGAATGTAAATTCGAATTTCCGGTTTGCTTTTGAAACGCATAAGCAAAACCGGAAAGTCTGATTTTTTTGTTGCGTGTTTCTTAGATCTGGAATCGATTTCGTGATTTTGCCAGTGTTAATTCACATCCTGTCTTTGCCCAACTATGAGTCTGCATTTTGCGGAGCCTGGATCCCGCTACGCGCGCCAGCGACAATGGCTGGGCGATGCGTTACTGCCAACGGACTGCGCTCGAGCGTCTCACTGCCGCCTCTATGTGCCTGCGCGCAGTGGGTGCCATAAATAAGACCCGTTGCAGACCCACTCCTTCGCTCTCCGATGTAAAAACGCATTTCGCACGCGCCGACAGCAATTCGACTCGCGCCCCGGCGAGGCGGGGGCGCTGCGCGCGAAGCCGCCGCGGTGGCCGCGTCGATTCGCGGAGGGGCAGCCCGGGCGCGGCTGCCAAGAATAGCGCGGCCCGAAATACTAGCATCCAGACCATTGGCCGCCCTCCTACTGGAGGGCGGCAAGCCGCGCGGGGGCGAGCGCCCGCGGTTGCGCGATTGTCTGCGACGCCGAGGTCATCGCAAGTCGCCGCCGCCGATGAATCTGCGACCCCGGGCGCGCCGCGCAGAGGCGCGAGGAGGAGCCAGAGAAGGGCGAGGAGGGCGCAGATCAATCTTCTGTCTGTCCGGGCCCAGCCCGGCACGCCGCGACAAGCCCGCGACCGCGAGGGCGCCAGCTCCGCCGCGCGCGGCCCCGACGCCCAGCCGCGCGCGCAGCGCGGCCGGCAGGGGACGCGGATGCCGACCGCGACGAGCAGCCCCAACCCGATGCCAAGTGCGATTTCGAGCCGCGCCGCGCCGCGGGCGCAGTCGCCGAGCTTCGCGGCCCGATGTGCCCGCCTGGTCATCCCCCCGACCTCGCTTGAGCCGCCCGCCTGGACTGCGTCGAGATCCACCCGCCGCGCGACAATTGTCGTGGCGAGGAGGGCGGGGGCGCTGCGAGGGCGCGCGCTGCCCCAACCGCCGGGCGCCTTCCCAGGTGGGCGGCGCGGGCGCCGGCGAGACGCCCGCCGACCCCGGCGCCTGCCAGATCGCCGATCTCCAGGAGGTTGTCTTCGCTGGATGGGGCTGCCAGGCGGCGGGCGCCGCCGCTGGCGAGCCGCCGCATGTTGGCCGGGAACAGGCGGGGGAACGCGTCGAGGGCGGGCGAGACCCACGGGCGCGCGGGATACGTTCGCTCGAGCGCCCGCGGGCGCGCAACGAAGGCGTCAATCTGCGCGTTCGAGGCGCGCGCGAACTACCGGAGGGCCGCGGCGAGACGCCCGCGCGCGAGCTCGCGGGGCAGACTTGGAACGCCGGCGACGACAAGGACGAGTCTTGCTTTGGTCCTCGCGGCGCCAGAAGAGTCTATCGCGGCCGGCGCCGTGCGACCCGCACTTCGCCACGCGCCCTGAAGGCGCCGGCGGCTGCGGGGCGGGCGCCGACGAGGGCGCCCCGAAGGGCGCCGCGGAATGCGCGCGTGGGGATCCCATTCGTGGATGAAAATTCCAGCTCCAGGGCGCAAGATCGGCGCTCGGCTCGCCGCGCAAGGCGGCGCTGCCAGCCCCCCCCGTCGCGCGCGAGATCGCGGGGGGCGCCGTCCAGCAGCTGGGCGAAGACGGGCCATCCCTCGCAGTCCTCGCTGGCGATGCTATCGTCGACGCCAACGACGCGCGCGATAATGGGGAGTCGATTGCAGAAGTGCGAAGATCAGCCGGCCCTTGCTGCTCTTCACCTGGCGGCGCGTCTGAATCAGGACCCAGCAGCCTGCCCGGCGTGCCCTGCCCCACTTGTCCTTCTCGGCAAGCGCGCCCGTGCATTGTCGAAAGCCCTTGTTCCTCGGGAGTGGCGCGCGCACCCTGGTTCTTCCCGCTCCGCAGTTGGTTGTTGCCGGTCCTTTTTCCGGTTCCGATCCGGGAGTCATTTGTTGTTCCCTTTTTGGTTGTCGTTGTTTGTCGTTTCCGTTTTCAAGAGACATTTTTTTCGCAGACGGTGAAAATGCGGCCCTGCCGTTTCTGGGGGACGCCTTCGTCGGCGAACCCGCGGGGCACCGAGACGGGGAACGCCGTTTCAGATGGGTCGGATGTCCCTTGGCCATTTGAAAAGCGTTGCGTGCATTCATCGAAGACACCGGAAGCTTTCGAGAAGGCTGGAGTACTGCCGAGAAGCCGCGCTGCCTTCTGAGAGGGCATTATCCTTTTAATTCCCCCCTGCTCACCACCCACGCCCGGACACTTGTGGTTCATTTTCAATAAGCCGCCCATTTCGTCATTTGCCGTCGCTTCGCCGACAGGGCGCGCGGGCGGCGGGCGCCGTTCGCCCGATCCTTTTTCGTTCTCATGGGAGGCTGTCGTCGCCACCGTCGGGTTCGCCGCGAAGTCTTGTTCAGAGCGCACCCCAGCAGAGATCGGGAGAGTAGCGGTCTTGGCGCCCCTGGCTTTCCCAGAGGAGGAGGAGGAGGAGGAGGAGGAGGAGGAGGAGGAGGAGGAGGAGGAGGAGGAGGAGGAGGAGGAGATGAGGATGTCGAGGATGCGGACAGGGAGGGGGAGGATAACGAGGAGGAGGAACGGAGGAGGAGACGAGAGAGGAGGAACAGGAATGAGATGAGGAGGAAAAGGGTGTGGAGGAGGAGGAGGAGGAGGAGGAGGAGGAGGAGGAGGACGAGGAGGAGGAGGAGGAGGGGGAGGAGGAGGAGGAGGAGGAGGAAAAGGAGGAGGAAGAGGAGGAGGAGGAGGAGGAGGAGGAGAAGGAGGAAACGGAAAAGGAGGGGAAAGGACGACGACGACGACGAGGACGGGGAGGAAGAGGAGGAGGAGGAAGAGGAGGAGGAGGGCGAGGACGAAAACAGGGACGAGAAAGACGAGGATGCGCATGGGCTGGGGCCGCTGCAGCGCCCCGCGAGGCGGGCCCCTGCAGTGGTGGACGGCGGCGGCTCTCGCCCTGGGGCTCGTGCTGGCCGCCGCGGCGCCCCAGCCTGCCCACGGACGGCGCGAAGCCCTCGCGTTGGCGGCGGCAGCGGCGGCGGGGGCGAAGACGACGACGACGACGACGACGACGACGGCGACGACGATGACGACGACGGCGACGGCGACGGCGACGGCGACGGTGGCGACGGCGACGACGGCGGCGGCGGCGACGGACGACGTTGGCGGCGGCGGCGTCGGCTGCGACGACGACGACGGCGGCGACGACGTCGACGACGGCGGTGGCGACGACAACGGCGACGGCGACGACTACGGCTGCGGCGGTGGATGCGGCGACGGCGGCGGCGGCTTCGGCGGCGGCGGCGACGACGACGGCGACGACGACGACGGCGACGACGCCGACGACGGCGGCGGCGGCGACGACGGCGGCGGCTGCGGCTGCGGCGTCTGCGGCGGCGACGGTGACGGCGGCGGCGGCGGCCGCGACGACGACGACGACGACGACGACGACGACGACGACGACGACGACGACGACGGCAGCGACGACGACGACGACGGCGGCGACGGCGACTACGGCGACGGCGAGTACGGCGGCGGCTGCGACGACGACGACGACGGCGACGACGACGACTGCGGCGCCGGAGACGACGGCGGCGGCGGCGGCGGCGGCGACAAGGGCGGGTGCGGCGGACGCGATGACGACGACGACGACGACGACGACGACGGAGGCGACGGCGACGACGACAGCGGCGGCGACGGCGGCGGTGGCGGCGGCTGCGACGACGACGGCGACGACGACGACGACGACGACGACGATCAAGACGACGGCGACCAAGGCGGCGACGACGGCGACGTCGGCGACGGTGACGACGACGGCGTCGGCGGCGGCGGCTGCGACGACGACGACGACGACGACGACGACGACGACGACGACGACGACGACGACGACGACGGCGGTGACGGCGACAACCATGGCGGTGGCGGCTGTGGCGGAAGCGGCGGCGGCGTCTGCGGCGGCGACCGCGGCGGCGGCGGCGACGACGACGACGACGACGACGACGAGGACGAAGACGACGACGACGGCGGCGACGGCGACGACGACGGCAACAGCGACGGCGGCGGCGGCGGTTGCGACGACGACGACGACGACGACGACGACGGCGAAGGCGGCGACGACGGAGGCCAAAACGGCGGCTGCGGCAACGGCGACGGCGACGGCGGGCGGCGGCGGTGCGACTACGACGACGACGACGACGACCACGACGACGTCGACGACGACGAGGACGACGACGACGACGACGACGACGACGACGACGGCGAGGGTGGTGGCGGCGACGAGGACGGCGGCGGCGGCGGCGGCGGCTGCGGCGGCGGCGGCTGCGACGACGACGGCGACGACGACGACGGCGGCGGCGGCCTCGACGACGGCGGCGGCGGCGGCGGCCGCGGCGGCGGCGGCGGCGGCGGCGGCGGCGACGACGACGACGACGACGACGACGACGACGACGACGACGACGACGACGACGACGACGACGACGACAACGGCGGCGACGACGACGGCAGCGACGACGACGGCGGCGACGACGACGACGGCGGCGGCGGCTGCGACGGCGGCGACGGGGGCGGCTTCGGCGGCGACGGGGGCGGCTGCGGCGGCGACGACGACGACGACGGCGACGACGACGACGACGACGGCGACGACGACGACGATGACGATGACGACGACGACGACGACGACGGCGACGACGGCGGCGACGGCGACGACGACAACGGCGGCGACGGCGGCGGCGGCGGCTGCGACGACGACGACGACGACGACGACGACGACGACGACGACGACGACGACCAAGACGACGGCGACGACGACAGCGGCGACGGCGACGGCGGCGACGGCGGCGACTGCGAAGACGACGATTGCGGCGGCGGCGGTTGCGACGACGACGACGACGACGATGCCGACGACGACGACGACGACGACGGCGGTGACGGCGACGACGACGGAGGTGGCGGCGGCGGCTGCGGCGGCGACGGCGGCTGCGGCTGCGGCAACGACGACGACGGTGTTAACGACGACGATGACGGTGAAGACGGCGGCGGCGACGGCGGCTGCGGCTGCGACCACGACGACGACGACGACGACGACGACGACGACGACGACGACGACGACGACGACCAAGACGACGACGACGATGGCGGCGACGACGACGACGGCGCCGACGGCGACGACGACGGCCGCTTCGGCGGCGGCGGCGGCGGCTGCGACGACGACGACGATGACGACGACGGGGACGACGACGACGAGGGCGGCGGCGGCGACGACGGCGGCGGCGGCTGTGGCGGCGGCGGCGGCTGCTGCGACGACGACGGCGACGACGACGACGACGGCGACGACGACGACGATGGTGGCGGCGACGACGACGTTGGCGGCGGCGGCGGCTGCGGCGGCGACGGCGGCGGGGAGGGTCCAGCGCACACCCAAGACATCCGCGCGGAGCGCAGAGCGTTTACTCTGATGCGGTGTTTCTTCTTCTGCTTCTGGGGGGGACATCTGGCCCCCTTGGTCACCACCAGGGTCGCGAAGGCAATCTCGCCTCGAGCGTGCCCGCAGTGGCCAGGCAGTGCCGGCCTCTCTCCCTGTGGCGCCGGGGCCGCAGATCCGGCCGCGCGGCCCCCTCCGCGCGGGGCGCCAAGAGCGCGCAGTTGGCCTGCCCGGGCCTGGTGGGCCCGCTGCGTCGACCTTGGCACGCGTGAGCTCAGAGGAGGAAGAGGTGGCCACACCAAGGGCTCCCACGAGGGCGCGAAGTTATTCGCGCTTCGCGGTCCTCGTTCTTTCTCCCCCCTCCTCCTCGTCCTCCTTTTCTCCCTTTGGGGGGGCGGCGCGAGGGCGCGAAGTTATTCGCGCTTCGCGGAGCGCGAAGCGCGAAGTTGGGAGCCCTAGCACACCGCTGCCCTTCTCTCGTTTTCCCCCCGTGTCGGCCTCCTGGGAGGCCCCCGTCGCCGCCGCCGGCTTCGCCGCGAGGCGCTGGTCAGAGCGCACTTGGGGAGAGGTCCGGAGAGCAGCGGTGTCAGTACTTTGTTTGTTTCCCCAGAGGAGGAAGAAGAAGAGGATGAGGGTGAGGATGATGCGGATGCGCATTGGGAGGAGGAGGAGAAGGAGGAGGAGGAGGAGGGGGAGGAGGAGGAGGAGCAGGAGAGGGGGATAGAGATTAGCAGAAAGCAGATGAGGAGGAGAAAGGTGACGAGGGTAGGACGACGACGAGGAGGAGAAGGACGAGGAGGATAACTAGGAGGAGGAGGAGGAGGACGAGGAGGATGAGGAGGAGGACGAGGAGGAGAGTGGTGGAGTCTGTCCAGCTCGGCGCTGCTGCTGCTCCTCCGGGCTCCTGGCTCACTCCCCACTGCATGTCCGCGGTGTGCCACAACGTCAGGACAGGTGTGGAAGCGGATGATGGAGGAGCAGAAGGCAAAGAGAGAAGCGAAACTAGCTGAAGGAAGCGCTCCTTGATGCTCCCGGTGCATGTCGTCGTCCTCCGTGCACCGATTCGGCCTGCTGATCTTCTGTTCCTCTTCGCTCTGTTGCCGTTGGCCCCACTGAACATCCTCCAGTGATTATGCCTTTGTCATTCGGCCCGCAGCTGATGTTCGGTCCATGCCATGCTCTAGTCTTGATGAGGTCGGTGGTCACCGATGGAGTTGCTCGGGGAATCGGTTGGTTGGTAGCCAGGGCATTTTGTTGTAATACCTATGCACTTGACAGTTGCAGACGATAGCGCAAACGTAGTTAGCATGTGATACCGACAAGCATTCGCGAGAGGGTCATTCTGCCGATGCAGCGTGATTTGTGCTCTGGATGGGTCGCACGCGTGATCTTGTGTTCCATTCGAATGTTGGAAAAGGTTAATTGTGTTGGCGCCTTAGCTTGCTGTTCCTATCCAACCCGTTGTCAGCCTCGCTGCGACTCTCCATGATCCTCAAGGCCAATGTCGGCAGATTGTTTGCTGATATTGTAATTACAGTGAAGACCCATGCCTAGAAGCATTTTGCTTGCCTCCAGGGTGCGATTCTTGGGTTTCTTGGGTTTCGATGGTTCTGCTATGGAAGCCGTGACGTTCCCACACCAAGAATCGATGGACGTAGTGGGGTCTCAGGGTTCGGTTTCGTGTGGAAGGTTTCTTGTGGTCGAGTTCCTATCTCCCATGGTACATCATCTGCACCTCGCGTTTCTCTCTCTGTGTCTTGCCCTGCGCCTCACAACCTCTCTTCGCCCACCAGCGCCTTCGGCCTCGACACCTTCGGGGACTCCCGCACCGGCGTCCGCGTCCTCGAGCAGCTCCAGTTTCTTCAAGGAGCAGATCTACGCCGAATCGCGCGCGAAGGTCGGGGCGGTGCTGATTTGTTGCTATTGTCTTTGCATCGCTCAGACGGCTTTTTCCACGGCAAGGACCACCGAGGAGCATTTAGGGTCATGTGGCGAGAAATTACGCACACAAAACCGAACAATGAACGAGGAATGGACGTCCGAGCGATGGTGAGTGGCTGCAGGGAAAGACGAGAGCAGTTAATGAGCCAGCGCCGCAGCAATATCTACAACATCGGTGTTACGAACATTAATGATCTTACTAATAATCATAATAATAATAATGATGAGCAATTGCGTGAACATAACATCTTTCGGAGCTCTGCCGGAACTCCGAAATGTTGCGCTTATGTTGTTTCTTCCTCTACTTGGGCAGAGAGCTGGGCTAGGTCCAGAAGCGGCACGGCAGAATTGCGGAATTCACATTGACTTACCCGCACTACCACCACCAGCTCATCTTTATTCAAATTGCTCGCCAGATGGCACGGGCGTTGGACGTTCGATTCTGGACCTTCCGTTGAAAGCAGCCGTCCAGCTTTCGCGCGGAAAGCCGCCGACAACCGTCGAAGAGTGCCCGAGAGCGCAGAAATCCCGCCGACGACTGCCGACGACCGCCGAGGGCTCACGGGAAACAGGGTGTCCAGGACACGCAATGGGCCGGGCGAAGGCGGTCATTTGTTGAGACATGGTTCGGTACAGACGGCGAGGGTCAGATGTTGGCGTTTGTGTTACGGTCAAGCGTAAGAATGAGCATTTCAAAGCAAGGGCCCTTCGCGTCTTTCGGCTCTGGGCATGCTTGCGCCCTGATGTTCAGGCCTCTCAGCGGTCGAAACATTAGCACAACCACCAACATCGGGATCATTCTCCCTTGGCGCAGGCGACCGCCGATATTCATGTTGGTGCCCTTTGCCAGGCCTCCTCAAGCAAAAGATCCCCCCAGAAGAGGTGTCGACACGCTTGAATTCAGAACTTGGGAGCTGCCCATTCGGGTTATCAAGAATAAACGACCCCCCAGTACCAATAGCACGATGAAGACGTAGCCTAACTGCAGTCCCCGTCTTTGCGGTTTCGTTCGAGACATCTGAAACAGTTTTTTCCCTAATGTACGTTTGCCCTCCTAACGCAACTCCCCTTTCCAAAGGGTTACGTAGGGGCACTTCTTGCTACAGTCAAGGCGCTGAAAGAAGGAACAGTTTGGGTTCGGAAGGGGCTCGATGTTCCTTAGGTTCCTCCAGTGCTGTTCCTCTTGCCCTCCTGGGGCACGGAGTTGCTTACAGGGCCAAGAAGGGGCTTCGTTCCTTATTTAGCGTTCCTTCTTTCAGCGGCCCGACTGTAGTCATCTGGGGGTCGGTGTTGGTTGGTTTCGTTGTCGCTGTGGGTTGCGTCATTTCTCGGATGCGCCGTCGCCGCCGTGGATGGCCTTGACGGAAGGCGGAGCCAGCGCGAGGGATGCCGACAAGACGGCGACGGGGCGAGGGAGGGCGAGGGGAGGGGGATTCGAGGAGGGGATCGACTACAGGACTGATTCCCCCAAATTTTTCTGTGCCATCGAAGAGCAGGGCTCCTTTCGACCCCTCCGACTCGGTTCGATTCGAGTTCGATGGCTTCCGATTCCAGTGCGATTCGACCTCGGGTTCCGATTTGGGGTTCGGTTTCTCAGTGGAGGCCTTGCTGGCCTCCCGATTTCCGCCGACTCGATGTCTCCCGACTCGGCTGCCGAGTTCCGCCGATCCGATTCCTTTCGATCGCCGAGCCGACTCATCGGTTCGATCCTGGGCTCTCCTTGGGGTGGGGCGAGGGAGGGCGAGGCCGGTGGGATGGAGAAGGTGCCCCATCGGGAGCCTCGAGATGGGGTCAATGCAGACGGGGGTCAGCCAGGGCACCGGATCCTGCAGGATCCTGCGAAGACCCCCTCTGGCTGACCCGGGCTAGCGAGCCGCTTGTTGCCGCGAGGCGGCCGGTCCTATGGGCTGACCCGGGTTTGCGAAGACCTGCGTTGCAGTTTTTTTGTTCCTGCATTGCAGTTTTGGGTTTCCTGCTGACCCGGGTCTGGATTGACCCGGGTCAGAAGATCCCCGACCCCAGCCCGCAGTGTTCCTCTTCCCAAGCTTGTGGAAGCATGAGACGCCAGGATTTGGGGAGGGGCGAGGGAGGGCGAGGACGGTGGGATGGAGGAGGCACTCCACCCCCCGCAGCTTTCCCTCGGCATCGCTCGGACGTGTGCATTTTTTTTCTCGGCGAGAACCATCGAGGACCATCCTGGACCATCGAGCAAAACAACACGCACGAAACCGACACATGCACGGGAAATGGATGTCCGAGCGACGGCAAGTTCCTCTTCCCGAGTTCGTGGAAGCATGAGACGCCAGGATCTCAGGGCCCGCCTTCTCTATGCTGGGTGGTGTCATTGTTTCGCCTCTTCGAGGTTCGGATGCGCAGCATCTCCGCCGGTATATCCGTGGTCGAAAACGAGCCACGGCCGACAGAATCCTGGCGAATCCGCTTTCGTCCGACCTCATTCGAACCCTTCCAGATGGCGTCCGAGTACGTGGGGTCGAGGGATCGCGCCGCATTGACGATGCATCGCCGATGCGGTTCGATGTGAAGCCCGACTCTCTTCACGCCGACTGCGCCGATGCGTCGCCGACGCCTGCAATGCATCGCCGATGCGTCGGCGTTGCATTTGCGACGCGGCGCGATCCTCCGACCCCAGCTGCTCGAACTCAACTGGGAGGCCTCTGTGAACCCAGGCCCCGACGTCGTGTTTTTTCTGTTCGCAACATGAACCCCCAGAGACCTGGACCCCTGCCCATGACCGGCTTCTCATTCCGAGTCGTTCTCTGGCAGTTCTGGGGCCCGGCAGGGGCCCTTGGACGCCGAAAGCAGCGACACATTTTTCAGGAGGGGAAAAAACACACAGACATTATGAATCGTCGATCCCTGAGAAGATTTTGGAACATATGGGAAGTGGGGGGAGGACAAAAACACAGAAAATATGGGAAAATATTGGAATCCTGTAATTTGTGTGTGTATCTATTTGTGTGTCCCATGGCCCCTTCAATTTTCCGCTTGATCTTTTCACAACGCAAAGGGCTCTGGGAATGCGGCAGAAGCATGATTTCAGTCTGGCCTCTCCTCACAGTCGGACCGAGGGCTAGGATCGAGGTCGGTTCGGGGAGGCTGCCCCGATGTTCTTCGTGCTTGTTGGATGTTCTTGTGCACCCTGGGGAGGGTACCCTTGGACGTTCTGCCTGTTTTGGCCGGCGGAGGGTCTCATGTTCTTGAGGGGTGCTCTTCTGGCCTATCTCCGACTGTATTATCGGGGAGATGTACGACTCGGGTTCGGGGGATTCGGATTGGCCTGGCGGGACCCTCATGAAAATGACGAGACCCAACCGCCCGCTGCAGACATCCCACGAAAGTTGGACCGTCAAAATCCGGGACGTGCTCGTCAGAAAGCGTCGGCAAACCCGAGTTCCGGTGTGCTCGAGTCTCACGTTTCCCCGATGCTATCGCGGCTGAATTCTGGGCCTCGTCTTGCCTGATCCGCCTCCTACAGTCGGCCCAGATTAGTAGGTCGACCCTGCCAAGTCAAGGGTACCCTTGTGTCCTGTGCCTCGCGACCCATGCTTCCTACATTCCCGTGGCAACGTGGCCCTCGGAAGGGTTTTTTGTCCCCTCGCGTGTCCTGTCCAATGTTCCCTGGTCGTCGTTTATATCGTGACTTCATGGTGCTTCCGACGCTCTGCATACTTGCACGCTGGCAGTTCGGCTCAGTCTCAGTCTCTGCTGCCACCCGCCCGCCGCTGGGCCGCCGCGTGAGGCCTCGGCTTGCCGCGTTAGTTGTAGCCTGTTCGCGCTGCCTCTCTGCTTAATTAGTCTCTGCGTAGCCCGCTTTGACCTGACTCGCCGCCGGCGCGCTCGCCCGCGGCCGCTGACTAAAAGGTGCCCTGTCCAGTGAAGTCCGGCTGCACGGGGGCAGGTCTTCATCCCACCCGGGCCTGCCGCCTCCGTGCCGCTCCGGTGCCGCCGCCCCGCCCCGCGGGGGCCACTGTGCCCCGGCAGCTCTGGGGCGGGGACGTGCACAGAGCTTTGCGGAAGCCGATGAATTCGGCACGGACGAGGAGGAGGAGGAGGACCAGAGAAAACCCCAAAATCAGCATCGATTGTGCAGTAAGCCCTCCCTCCGAGTTTCGTCGTTCACAGGCCCCGGCAAGGGTCCACTTGCATTGATGGAAGTGCTCCGTTGGAAGACAGCCGTGAAGCAAGTCCTGAGCCGTGCCAGGGCACCCCTCTTCGGAGCTCAATGCCGCGAGTGCACGTTCCTGCTGCTCTGCACGAACGAAATGGGCACGGAAAGAATGGGTACGATGCCCAACAGCATTTCCTGTTCATTTTGAACAGGACTCGCTGTCCGCGCCGCCGCGGCCTGTGTCCATTCGAGACAGTGGCCGCCTGCCCAACAGCGGCCGCTGTTGGTTTGGGACAATTGTTGGGCATTGTGCCCATTCTTTCGGTACCCATTTCGGGTGTCCAAATTAATGGAGAGGAAGCGTGCTGCCAAATAATGTCCAGATGTCTAACAAACGTTTCAAACATGTATTGGATATGTAAAAAACATGTTGGACACATTGTTTGAGCACGTTATACACGTGTTGAACACATGTTCGATTCAATGATAGGATTGTTAGAGTGTCCATTGTCATGGCATCCTCAAACATATCGAGGAACACCGCCTGTGGGGATCGGTCCTCGGGACCACCAGGATCGATGCTCTTTGGCAGCAGATCATGGGAGCACAGCGTACCCTCCCGATTCCGCCTTTCGCGTCGACTAGCCTCGATGAGGGTCTGGGAGTTGTCGATGGGCTAACGGCGTTTGTTAGCGTCTGGTAGCGTCGCTCTATCGTCGGTTCGCGTCGACTAGCGTCGACTGGCTTTGATTCGCAAGAGCCGACCATATGGCATGGCATGAAATCGCGGGAGCCTGGTATGCGCAGCGCGCGCCGCCCTGGCCTGGAAGGTGCTGGAGGACGCCGCGGCGCTGAAGCGCAAGGAGGCCTTCGCGAAGAGCGAGGAGGCTTCTCCCCCTCGCGGGGGCGAGGGCCGCGGGAGGAAGTCGAGACTTTGACACTCTCGCGCCGTGGCAAAGTCGGGACGGGAGGTCCTTCGTGGTCTTCGGCTTCTCGGGGCCTCGGGACCGTCAGAGGACGATTCCGAAAGAAAACCCCCTCCCGGGGAACGGGTCGAGACCCCTTATTACCAGCCTGGAACATATCCCTATTCCATCCCTATGCTGGGCACCTCCTCATCACGATGCCAATCTTAGGGGTTCCCTTCTTGTGGAGGGCGAACCCTTACGATTGTCATCGCCTTCTGGCGTGTCCATCTTCGGGATAGGGGTACGTCCGAGGCTGGAAACCCTAGGGGTCGGCGTCAGGAGCAAGTCATGACGTCGGGGGTGTGCGCGGACTTGGCCCCTTTCCCACCCCCGGCCGGCCCGGGCAACGACGGTGAATGCGACAGGAGTTTTTTTGCTGCTGTTCTCGGCCTCTGGGGGCTCTCACCGGGCCCCGGGGCGTCCACAGAACGACTCGGGATGAGGCGCGGGCGCCCGGGAAGGGGTGCAGCGCTCTCTGGGGGTCCAAGTCATTGAAGCATCACGACGTCGGGGGTCGATGCAGGCTTCCCAGAAAAGGGTCGGAGTGTAGACGGGGTCGGAGGATCGTGCCGCAGCGCCAATGCATCGGCGATGGATCGGCGGTGCGGCTCGATGTGGGGCCCAGGTTTCTCCACGCCGACGTCCCCGCTGCATCGCCGACGTGGCCAGTACATCGCCGATGCATCGCCGATGTACTGGCGATGTGGCGAGATCCTTCAGACCCATCCGCTCGGACCCCATCCAGGAGGCCTCTAGTCCAGCAGGAAGATCGAACAACAGCGGCAGCACATCTCAGGCACTGGTTGTTTCGAGCAGCCCTCGCTCGAGAACGTAAGGCGAGATCCCCAGGGAGCACCAGCACGCTTTGGGCCTGGCGGCCGCGCCATGCAGGATGTGCGAGGCGGGTCGGGTTGTTATTCCAGGGGAGGAGAAAACATCCCGCCCCCCAGAACTGGCGCTTACTCAACGGACCTGAGTATTTTCTAAACAGCCACGCCCTCTTCGATTGCTTCTTTGAGTGCGTTTACTAAATGGCTTCCCTTCTCAGGGTGCTCAGCATGAGGGTGGATTTGTTGTCCTCTATTTTTTCTAACAGCCCCACCTGTCGCGTCGGGCACACACGTCACGGGCACAGTCTTTTGGAGTTCCTCTCGGAGGTCTCCTTTCTCGGACTTGCGCGGGGCCCCTCGGGGCTGGCGCCTCTGGCGTCCCTTGTGGCGCGCTCCGTGTGCGAGGGACCCGCGGACGACTGGTATGCACCGCACCGCGTTGGCGCCGCTCGAGGCGTCGTCGATCCTCGACCCAGGAATTGTACGATTGCATAGTTTGTCGGCCGCCGGAGCCGAAAATCTATGCACCGTACCGCGTTGGGTCGGGGCCCGAAGGGGTTCCAAACACCGTGCGGTGCACAGGTGCCGTGCGCGTTAAAGGGAGGCGGGCGAGGCACCGAGTCGAGAAAAATCGGCGCGGACCTCCGGCAGCGAATGCATAGTGAGGGGGTGTACACCTTAGGCGATGCTTAAGAAAACTTAACTTTTCGACCAGAGTCTCGATTAGTCTTAATGTTTCAATGTAAACCCTAAGATTTGAATAGACACGTTGGGCTTCAATTCAAGTTCTGAGACCATGAATTTCTTAACCCATGATTTCTTAAGCATTTCGCAGGGTGTACCCGAGGCCCCAGTAGCAGCCCCCGCGTGGCCTCGCCCCATGTCTGCCCATCTCGGCGCACCCTTTCCACGCTTCCGTGGCCCCATCAAGGAGATCCACCGATGGTGATACCCACAACGGCGATGTGCCAAACTGCATCTGGTTGGGCCCTTCGCAAGGATACCCGTCGGCCGTTGAAAGCAGACCGCATGGCATTTCCATATCCCAAACTATCTCAAGCGCCTTCCTACTTTCAGAATCGATGCGCTTTTACTGCTTGTTGAAATTATCTGGGAGGGCCTGAGCCCAATCGTCTTGACCTACAGTAGGAGCCCGACCACAAGAAACCTTCCACACGGATCCCAACCCTGAGACTCCAAAATGTCAACGGATTCTTAGTGTGGGAACGTCACGCCTTCCTTAGCAAGACCATCGCAACTCGAGAAACCCAGGGTACCCTGGAGGCAAGCAGGGAATTTCTTGGCATGGGGTTCTACTGTACAGCCAGCCCGCATAGTAAGGGTGGGTATCCTTCCCAAGGGTACCCTTGCATCCTTGCCTCCTCGGTCCATCCTTGGCTACTTTCGCTGGCCGCGCCCCGCTCGAAAAGCTTCGAAATGGCCTTCCGAGGCCCTTGCGTCCTTGTCGTGCATCCTCATGATGCGGGCCGACCGTACCTCTTCCTACCGACGTGTCCTGTCTTATGCCTCTGTGCTTCTCTCCCCCTCCAGAGCTGCGTGGGCGTCCGCTGCGCCGCTGCCCCCCCCCCCAGAGTCCATCCCCAGGCATGCGATGTCCTGACTTGTTTTGCTCCATACGCGGCACCCAGAAGCCTCGACCCTTCACCCCCGGGACCGGCTCCCCGGCCTGGGCCTTTCTGTTGACGGTCCTGGGGCGCGGCCCCCAGAGGCCGAAGGCAGCCAGCGAAGAGTCTCCCCTCGTGCACTTCTCAGGAGGGAAAGAAACACACAGACACAATTAATCGGCGATTCCCCAGAAAATATGGGAAAATATGGGAAGTGGGGGGGAAGACAAAAACCCAGAAAATATAGGAAAATATGGGGAATATTTTTATTTGTGTGTATTTATTTGTGTGTCCCAGGGCCCCTTCAACTTCGCAGGACGTGGCATGCCTGGGCCCCCCCCCTCGTCGCCGCGGCGGCGCCCGCCCCCGGAGCCCCGGCGGGAGGACAGCGTGCCTCCCGTGGAGAGGCCCGTGGAGAGCAGAGGGCAGCGGTATCGTTGCGTCGGGCCCGTCCCCTACAGTCGGGAGCGGAAAAGAGGGGGGTGATGACTAGGGGGGGGTGGATATCATGGCGGGGGCCATGATATCTCCCCAGATTTCATGGCGCCTCTTCTTGTTTCATTACGTCCCTGGCCCCCCCGCTGGGCCGCGCACATGCCGCTGGTCATGATTTGCACCCCCCCCTCTTGGACACCCCCCTCTTGGCCGCTCCCGACTACAGGGGGAATCCTCAAGAATATTTTGAAAAATGGCCTGGGGACTGTTTTTGGACTCTGTCCTAGCGTTCTGGGAGCATGTGTTGGGACATTTTTTTTTGGTTTTCGGCCAACATCCCCATGTAGGGGGACAGGCCCGACCTAACGGCATCGTCGGCTTTGAGGGGGTCGGCGTTGGGAAACCATCAGAGGAGGAAAAGGCACCCCTGTTGCTACCCTTAAATCGGGCCGGGCGAAAGGGGGGGATTGGGAAAGGGGGGGTTACGAAATTTGCTGCATGCAGCTGTTTTCGGCCTCACCGAGGGGCCCATTCCTCGATACATGGCCGCCTCCCGGCGCCGGGAGGCGCCGGGAAAATCAGCTCCGTGAGCTGAGTTTCAAACCCCCCCTTTGCTATCCCCCTTTTCGCCCGACCCGATTAAACCTCGCTTCCCCCCTGTTGTGGCTCTCTCGCGGAGGTAGGCGCACACTGCGCGGGTCGCGTCCGATGCCTCCTCGTCCTCCTCTCCCCTGGGGAGCGGCGCGAGAGCGCGAAGCTGGGCGCCCTTGCTCATGGCCCCCCCTATTAAAACCACGCAAGATCGGGACAAAATCGGATCGGGATAACCCGAAATCTCTGAGAATCGGCGGGGTTGGAGGATGTATTGGGCGCCGCGGCCGCTCCAGGGCGTTCCGGAACGCTCTGAGAGCGCTCCGGAACGCTTTCGAGCGATTTATCCCGATCCTAGTCCTGTTTTACCTACTCAGCAACGCCCCATGGTGGTCCATGGTCCCTCGCATCGGGCAGATCAAAGCGTCGGACGTCTGGGGAGGGGGAGGAGGACGAGCGGGCTGGAGGGGGGAAGCACCTCGGAGGCCTGGCGCCGCGCCTCACGCGAGGTCGACGGCGACGAGGACTCCATTGTGCCGATGACGTCGAGGACGACGAAACCGACGACGACGACCAGGGCGCCGAGGACGACGGCGACGACACCGCGATGACGAGGACGACGGTGACGACGACGACGACGCCGAGGGCGAGGGCGAGGACGTCGGCTGCGATGACCTCGGCGGCGGCGGCGGCGGCAGCGACGCGAGCGAGCAGGCGCAGCAGAAGGGCAAGGCCGAGCGCCTGATGCGCCAGGCGCACCGCCTCTGCTCTGCCCCGGGTGCTCCCCCGAGGACCATCGAGGACCATCCTTGATCATTTGGCGAAAAAACCACGCACGAACCCCCCCCCAAAAAAAAACAGGGAATGGACGTCCGAGCGATGGCGAGTCTGTGGTGCCGATCTCCGCGCTGCACTGCCGTCGCTGCTTCCGCCATGCAGTCGGGTCGGGCGCGCAAGCTGCTGCATCCGGGCACGGACTGCACCTCTCCCCGCGGGCCCATCTGCCCCAGAGCCGCTGCTCGGGCTTGGAGCCAGGGCCCCTTCCTTCAAGACCCCCCTCTCCTCCAAAGGAAGGGGCCAGGGATAATCAAACAACAAATCGTAGCCATAATTTCTCTGAGCTCCGCGCAAATTTCTCGGATCGGCGCTAGGCCCCCCCTGGTGGCGCCTCTGGCGCGCTCCGCGCGCCAGGGAGGGGGGCCATCGCCAGTCCAGGAAATCAGCGGAGCGCGTCAGGGGCGGCGCCGGAAGCGCCGCAAGGGGGGGGGCCCAGCGCCGATCCAAGATATCCGTGCGGACCCCAGAGAAATGATTTTGATTCCGGTTTGTCTGTTTCGTTCACCCGGGGAAGGGGAAGCGACGCCCAGGGCTCGAGCTGAACAGTGCGTTGGCGATTCCGTGGGCGATTTATTTGTTTTGTGTTTCGTTTTGCAGCAGAGGCAGAAGGAAGGCACAGCGCAGGACAACGGAAGCAAAGCGACAACGAAGAACACTGTTTGGCTCCAGCCCTGGCGACGCCACCACCACCACCAGGGTGGCCACCTCCAGGAAGGGCCCAAGCCTTGCGGGCTGCAGGTTAGCCCAGCAGCCGCAGCGTGCAGGCAGCTGCCCGCGACCGCTCCCCGCACCTTGCAGGTGAACTGCGACGGCGAACGATTTTGCCGACCACGCGTCGCCTCGATGAGGGGGAACGGTGGCATTGCAATCATCAGCATGGCAATCATCAGCAGCACAGGATTATGAGGAGGAGGAGGACCAGTGTAAACCCATGAGTCACCAATGATGTTGGAATAAGCCCTCTCCCCAAATTCCCTCCTCACAGGCCCCTACAACGGTTCATTTCCACAGAGGGACCTGCCTCGTTGGAAGACAACCGTTTGAAGACCCTGAAGCATGTCAAAACATTGTTCTCGGTCTTCCAATGCCACGGATAAACCTGACTGTTGCGTCTTGGCGATCATGAATCGTGCCAGATCGGAATTTCTTGGATTTTCAACACCGCGACTCTTCGTAACTGTTGCGCCCTCATAATCGTGGAGCATCTCAAAACATCAGTTCCGATACGTCGATCGTGGGAGCCCATGAAATTCTTGCAGTGCCAAAAAAAATGCGCGGCGCTACGGCGAGAGCCACGTCTTGAAAAAGAACCGCCCTCAATCCGCGAACTTGTCGCAGAAAGTTTCAAAACGAATGTACGCGGCGCTTCGGCGAGAGCCACATGTTGAAAACGACCCGCCCTGAATCCGTGAAACTCTGCAATGTTTTTTTTTACGAAGGTGCGCGGCAATAAGGCGAGAGCCACATTTTGAAAACCAGTTGCCATCACTATGTCAAATAGTTGCAACTTGTTCAAACAATTGTACGCTGCGCTGAAGCGAGAGGCACATTTTGAAATCCTCCGCCCTCAATCCGTGAAGCTCTTGCAATTCTTGCCAAACGAATGTCCGCGGCGCTAGGACGAGAGCCACATTTTGAAAACCACCCGCGCTCAATATGTGAGGCTCTTGCACTTTGAAGAAAACAGAGTGCGCGCGGAGTCAAGGCGAGAGCCACGTTTTGAAAACGAGCCCCCCTCCATCTGCGAAGCGGTTGCCAAGTTTGAAGCTTCAGGGCCATACATGTTGAGGAAGTCTCAGGCGAAACGCCCGGCCCGCCGTGCAAATTGACTTCGGGGTGCGGCAGGGATAAGTTTTTATTTATATATATAACAGAGGAGAAGGAATTGAGGGAAATGAGGACGAGGATGTGGCGGGTAGGGGGAAGCGTGGGAAGAGAAGGAGCAGGAGGAGGAGTTGGCGGAGGATTCCCCCCCAGCTGACGGCTAAGTCGGGCCAGAGTAGAAAGCCCCAGCTCAGCTTCTCATGCACCTGGGTGGAGCGCTCCAGCTCTGCTGCTCAAGTTGCGCAACGTCGACAGAGTCGGACGGAACACGTTGGAGGAGGAAGAGCAGGAGGAATTGGAGGAGTTGCAGGATGTGTTGCAGGAGGAGGAGCGCGAGGAGGAGGTGGAGGAGGATGAGAAGGAGGAGGAGGAGCAGGAGGAGGAGGAAGCGATGACTTTGGAGGAGGAGGAAACGTTGGAGGAGGAGGAGGAGGAGGAGGAGGAGGAGTTGAAGTTGGGGTAGGAGTGGGAGGAGTTGGATGAGTTGGTGGAGTTGGAGGAGTCGTAGGAGGAGGAGGAGGAGGAGGAGGAGGAGGAAGAGGAGGAGGAGGAGGAGGCGCCCGTCCCCGCCGACGGCCCGCCGCCAGCTCGACATGCAGCGCAAGGAGCAGGAGCGCCTGCGGAACGCGGGGCCCTCGGCCGCCCGCCGGCCGCCCCCCCCGCAGCGGGCCACCGCCGCCCCCCCGAGACGACGACCACAGCGATGATCCTAACAACGACGACGCACCCGACGACGACGACGATATCGACCGCAACGACGACGACGACCACAACCGCGACGACGACGACGACGACGACGTCGACGACGACGACGACGCAGGCGGCGACGACGACGACGACGACGACGACGACGACGACTGGTGGGAGTCGTTGGGGCTCCTCGCCCTTGCGCGGGGGGCGGCAGGCCGAAGGGCCCAGGCGTCAGCGCCTGCCGCGCACTTGCCCGGAGCATGTCTCTGACCTTGTGAACGCCAAGGGCAACCGAGGATCTGGACGCCCGACATGGGCACGGAAAGAGTGGGTAAGATGCCCAGCAGCAGTTCCTGTTCATTTTGGACAGGGTTCGCTGTCCACGCCGCCGCGGCCTGTGCCCATTCGAGACAGAAGGCCGCCTGCCCAACAGCGGCCGCTGTCGGTTCGGGACAACGTTTGCTGTTGGGCATTGTGCCCATTCTTTCCGTACCCATCTCGGGCGTCCAAAGAGGACTTGGCATCGCTCGGGCGTGTGCATTTTTTTCTCTTTCGGCGAGGACCATCGAGGAGCAGCCTTGGGCATTTGGCGAAACAAGCCACGCAGGAAACCGAACAAACAAAACACAGGGCATGGACGTCCGAGCGGTGGCCAGAGGACAGGGGGGGAGACTCCAGGCCTCCCGGGTGGGGTCCGAACAGGCGGGGCCCGAGGATCGCGCCGCATCGCTGATGCATCGGCCATGAGGCTCGACGCGGAGCCCGATCCTCCCCACGCCGACGTCGCAGCGACGATGCGGCGCGACCCTTTCGACCCCATCTGCTCGGACCCCACCGAGGAAGTCTCTGACAGGGGGGGGGGCGCATCTGCTCCCGATCGCCCAGCGATCGCCGACAGAGGCCTCGATACACCTTAGGCGATGCTTAAGAAAACCTATTTTTTTGGCCAGAGTCTTGATTATTCTTAATGTTTCAATGTAAATCCTAAGATTTGAGTGGAAATTTTGGGTTTTTACTCAAGTTCTGAGACTATGAATTTCTTAACCCATGATTTCTTAAGCATCTCGCAGGGTGTAGCCCCAACGGGCCAAGACCACTGCGGATGCACCCTCGGGGGGCCTGCTCGTCGGAGCCCGCCGCGCACCAGCGCCTCTCTAGCTCGGCGGCGAGCGCGGGTCGACGTGAGCAGGAGGAGGCCTCCTCCTCCCCTCCTCCTCCTCCTCCTTCCCTCCTCCTCCTCCTCCTCCTCCTCCTCCTCCTCCTCCTTCTTCCCCTCCTCCTCCTCCTCCTCCTCCTCCTCCTCCTCCTCGTCTTCGAGGGGTTTCCCTGCGTGTTCGGTGTTCGGGGAAGGCTCAGGGAACTAGGGGGCCACATGCGCACCCGTACCCCTGCCCTCCACGATTTCTGAGGGAGAGGGCGGATTTCGCTTCGCTCGGGAACTCCCGAGCGAAGTGAACCCCACCCTCCCCCTCAGAAATCGTGGGGGGGCTTCCGAGTTTTTGGAGGAGGCCCGCCCCCTCTCACTCCCCCCCGCGATCGCCGCCGAGGAACACGTCCCTGACCCTACGGCTGGCATGCAACAACCCAGGCCCGCTCGCGCTGTGAATTCATCACGTCGTTTTTGTTGGTGTTGCTGTTCTTTTCGGTCTTTAGGGGCCCTCACAGGGCCCCGGGACCGTCAAAGAACGATTCAGGATGCGAAGTTCCAGGCCTGGGAAAGAGGTCCAGGCCTCCGGGGGTCGACGCTGCGAAATAATCACGACGGCGGTGGTTTGGGTAGGTCACCCGAGGGGGGCCGAAGATCACCGCGCATCGCGGCCTGGGCTGGAAGGTGTCGAGAAGGCGCCCCGCTCAATGGCGGCGTCGCGAGGGCGCGAAGAGAGCTGCGCCTCGCGCTTCGCGGGGCGCGAGGCGCGAGGCGCGAAGCTAGGTTTGTGGAAGTCGACTTAATGGAGAGGAAGCGTGCTGCCAAATCATTTCCAGATGCCGAAAACATGTTTCAAGCATGTTTTAGACATGTTAGACACATTTTGTAACAAATTTACACATTTAAGACACATTCTTCATTCAATGATAGGATTGTGAGAGTGTCCATTGTCATCGCATCCACAAAGCTAGGTGACCTGGGTACCAGGACCGGCCAGCCCGCTGTTTCTCTCGGTTCAGGACGGTGGATCTCGTTTTCGTTTGCAGCGCAGTACCGCTGTGGGCCGGTCCTTGGCATCATCGCATCTCGTTGCCGATCTGAGTCCTCCTGAGGTTTTGTCAAACCGCGCCCTACCCCTTAGGCGATGCTTAAGAAAACCCAAGTTTTCGGCCAGAGTCTCGATTATTCTTAATGTTTCGATGTAAATCCTAGGATTTGAGTGGACTTGGTTTTTTATCCAAATTCTGAGACTATGAATTTCTTAACCCACGATTTCTAAAGCATTTCGCAGGGTGTACCCTTGGAGCCGGCAGGGGGTCTGGTGGCCCAGCACGGGTTCTGGCCGGCAGGACGCGGGGCGAGGTTCGAGGCGCTGGGTTCGGGCAACCTGGACTACCGGGAATATCCTGAATGCCTACTCCTCCTCCTCCTCCTCTTCCCCCTCCTCCTCCTCCTCCTCTTCCTCCTCCTCTTCCTCCTCCTCCTCCTCCTCCTTCTCCTCCTCCTCCTCCTCCTCCTCCTCCTCCTCCTCCTCCTCCTCCTCTTGGGGCATGCTGGGGAAATCTTGGAGCCTGTTGGAGCTGACTGCGCCGTGTTACGATGGTCTGGGGGCGTCGCGTGGCCGCTTCGGGCCCACCTTTGACTTCTTCTCCCATCCTCCACCCCCTCCTGACTATCCTGAGTCTCCCCCTCCCCCCGGCTGGCCCTCGTCTTCATACGCTTCATCAATCCCGACCTTATTCCTCATTCCCTGCGCGCCCTCATCATCGCACCCCTGTCTCCCCTGTACGACAAAACCTCTGCCTTGGAGAAGCCGCCCCCGAATCAAACCAGACCGACACACGTATGAGAACTACTCTCCCGATCCGCATCGTGAACCCCATCCCCATCATTATCCCCTCCATGCCCTCATCATCGCACCCCTCCTTCCCGTCTACGTCAGCAGGCTCGCCCAGCAAAAAAAACGCACCATAATACAACCAGAACGACGTCCCTATGAAAATCGATCCCTCTCGGCGAAATCTCATCTGTCACGCTTCCTCTCTCTCCCTCTCTCTCCCTGCCTCCTCCGACCCCCCCTTCTGCTATTCTTTCTGCTCCCATCATCCTCCCACCCCTCCCTCCTTCCCCTGACCTTCCCCCCCCCCACCCACAGGCCCCATCGTCTTCATCCACGTCCTTAAACCCGTCCCCATCCTCATACTCTTCACACCCTCAGCATCGCGCCTCCTCCCTTCCCTCTACCTCAGAATGTTTTCCCTGAAGAAGCCGCCCCCGAATTAAACCAGACCGACGCCCTTATGAAAACCACCACCCCTAGTCCGCATCCTGAGCCCATCCACATGCCAATTCCCTCCATGCCCTCATCATCGCACCCCTCATTCCCCTCTGGGTCAGCACGCCTGCCCTGAAAAAACGCCCCCGAGTGAAACCAGAACGACGTCCCCATGAAAACCAATCCACCGATCCGCATCCTGAACCCCATCCCCTCCTCATGCCCGTCATGCCCTCAGCATCGCACCCACCTTCCCCTCCTACGTCGGCGTGACTGCCCTGGGTAAAACGCGCCCGAATACAACCAGAACGACGTCTATATGAAAACGACCCCCCCTTCCGCATCCTCAACCCCATCCCCGTCCTCATCCCCGCCATGCCCTCATCATCGCACCTCTCCTTCCCATGCACATCAGCATGCTTCCCATGGGAAAGCCGCCCCCGAATAAAACCAGAACGACGCCCTTATGAACACCCGACATTTCATCTTACTCTCTCCCTGTCTCCTGACCCCAGCCAGGGACATTCCGCGCCGTTTGCAAGCCAGGGCGCGACGCCCCGAAATGCAACGTCGATTAAAACACTCGAACAAGACACGAACTGGGACCAATAGTCCGGGCTTGTCAAAACAATGACGGGTTTCAGATGAGGCCAGGTCGGGATCCTTGTGAGGGGTGTGCGAAATTGCGCGTCGGTGGGCCCTCGGCAGCGCCCCCATTTGGACCAGAGGGCCACGATCCTCGTGAGGTGTGCGCCGAAATCTCGCGTCGGAGGGCCAGGCCCACGATCCTCGAAAAGGGTGTGCCGAAATGAAGCGGCTGGCGGTGACGGTTACTCTAAATCCGACGGCGACACGAAGGACAGGTGTAAAATTGTGTCTTGTTCACTTTCTAATGCGAATCAAATCTACTTCCTTTACAGCGAATAGTGCACCAAGGTAGGCATTGGCACGAAAGACACGAAAGCCAGGTCTAAACATACGGTGTTCGTAATTTCCCGTGTGGGAAATCTATTCGGCCTTATACACGAGAAGAGTATCCGGAGGTTTCGTTGGTAGCGGCACGACGACCATGTGCAACCTTACTACTACTACTACTACTACTACTACTACTGTTACTACTACTACCACTACTACTACTACTACTACTACTACTACTACTACGACTACGATTACGACTACGACTACGACTACTACTACTACTACTACTACTACTCTTACTACTACTGCTGCTACTACTACTACTACTACTACTACTACGACTACTACTACTACTACTACTACTACTACTACTACTACTACTACTACTACTACTACTACTACTACTACTACTACTACACTACTACTACTACTACTACTACTACTACTACTACTGCCCACTACCACTACCACTACCCCTACTACTACTACTACTGCTACTACTACTACTACTACTACTACTGCTACTACTACTACTACTACTACTACTACTGCTACTGCTACTCCTACTACTACTACTACTACTGCCACTACTACTA